TTTTATTCAAATTTGTGTAGGTCATTCAAAATACTATTTAATTCTTGATCCCTATGCTCAAAATGACATGCTATCTTTCTAAAATATGTCATTTGCAGATGTAGAAGTTCCACTTACTTGTGTCATACTGATAGCCTTGTTTGCCCTTCAGCATTATGGCACCCACAGGGTTGGATTTTTGTTTGCACCTGTTGTGATAATATGGCTTATGTGTATCAGTGCTCTTGGTGTATATAATATAATAAAGTGGGACCGTCATGTGTATCGAGCACTGTCTCCATATTACATGTACAAATTCCTGAAAAAAACTCAAAGAGAAGGCTGGATGTCCTTGGGAGGGATCCTCCTGTGCATAACAGGTAAAATATAGTTGTCCATTGCTTTCTGATTATTTTCCTCAAGCAAAAGAGTTATCTACTACTATTTCTTTTGGTACGATGATCATCAAATATACAAGTATATCTTTCAGGTTCAGAAGCAATGTTTGCTGATCTAGGACATTTCTCCCAGTTATCAATACAGGTATATATTCATTCTTCATGTTATTTCCTGTTCTGCATACTTGAATAGACTTAATGGTCACACATTCATCATGTAGAGGTTCTGATTTCGGAAGTCTCACCACTACTTCTCAAAAAGTATTTTCACGTGTCAGGCCTAAGAAAAAGTAATAGGCTCACGCGTACAAGGATGTACTGAAGACCTAAAATAGATATTAACAATGAACCCTCTCTAGTATCGAAGCTTTTAAATGAGACGGTTATACCATACAAAAATATATGCAATGCAACTGTTTACAGTAATCCTCTTTCCAGAGAGCTAATATTGAATTTCCCACTTGTTACTGATGTGAGAACAATATGATGAATTAATGGTCAGTTAGAATAGTTTCAAGGTACATCTCCTTGAAGGTTCTCTTTTTTTCTATAGAAAAAGAGAAAAACTGAATCCAGTTGATTGTTTACATATAGTCAACTTGTGTATTTCTAAGAGACTATTTTCCCTTTTGCAGATTGCTTTTACCTTTATGGTATATCCATCACTGATACTTGCATATATGGGACAAGCTGCTTATCTTTCACAGCATCATGTTATTGAAAGTGAAAGCTATGGTATTGGCTTTTATGTTTCAGTACCAGGTATGTATATTCCTAGTTGCTTTTACGGGGGAAACATAACGGTGGTAAGAAAATTCAGCTGATGAAGGTCATCTCAAATTTGTTGTTTCAGAGATACTAAGGTTGCCTGTTCTAGTGATTGCAATACTTGCAGCTGTGGTAGGGAGCCAAGCCATCATCACTGGAACCTTTTCAATTATTAAACAATGCTCCTCTCTGGGCTGCTTTCCTAGAGTCAAAATAGTGAATACGTCGTCAAAAATACATGGACAGATTTATATTCCAGAGATCAATTGGACCTTAATGCTACTATGCTTGGCTGTTACCATTGGCTTTAGAGACACCAAAAGGATGGGCAATGCTTCAGGTATGGTCGTATGAATAAGGGAAAGTAAAAATTTGATTTGTCGAAATCATTTACCTTCTTGGATGAAGTGTTAAACTTAAAGTGTCTTTATTCGAGTTCACCAAATAATCAATCTATAGATTGACTGTTAAAAGTTTACTGTCATAATGTTCTTTGTGCTTGGTTCTGTCCTAAAACAAAATTACTTATTGAATCTGTTCCCTCCTCCGTGGGAGACCAATTTTCATGTTCAATGCTGAATGATATTCGTTTCTAATCCACATCCCTATTTTTTGCTTTGTATCAGGTTTGGCAGTCATAACTGTCATGCTGGTTACGACTTGTTTGATGTCATTGGTGATTGTTTTGTGCTGGCGCAAGAGTGTCCTCCTTGCACTTGGCTTTGTGATATTCTTTGGGACGATTGAGGCCTTGTATTTCTCAGCTTCTCTGATTAAATTTTTGGAAGGAGCATGGGTGCCTATTGTGATGGCCTTTGCTTTCATGATAGTAATGTGCATTTGGCACTATGGCTCTTTAAAGAAGTATGAATTTGATGTCCAAAATAAGGTCTCTGTTGAGTGGCTACTCGGTCTTGGTCCCAGCCTAGGCATTGTAAGGGTTCGTGGCATTGGCCTCATACACACTGAGCTCGTATCCGGAATCCCAGCAATCTTCTCACACTTTGTTACCAATCTTCCAGCATTCCACCAGGTCCTAGTATTCCTTTGTGTCAAATCTGTCCCAGTTCCTCATGTTAAACACGAGGAGCGTTTCCTCGTTGGACACATTGGTCCAAGAGAGTACCGCATATACAGATGCATTGTCAGGTATGGTTATCGCGATGCTCATAAAGATGATTCAGAATTTGAGAATGATCTTGTGTGTAGCATAGCTGAGTTTATAAGAACAGGAAAGATGGGGTTGAATGTTAATGGTGAAGATCTTAGAAAGGATTTTGAAAACCTGACTGTTGTTGGAACCCCGTCAACTCATCTATCAGGTGTTCAACTTTGTGAGGACGAGGATGTAAGTGCTGAATTAGTTGGAACATCAGAACGGAAAGAAATACTTTCTCCACGCGTAACCAAGCTTAAGAAAAGGGTGAGGTTTGTTATACCAGAATCACCCAAGATTGATAGAAGTGCACAAGAGGAGTTGAGGGAACTGATGGAAGCAAGGGAAGCAGGCATAGCTTACATATTGGGACATTCCTATGTAAGAGCCAAACAAGGATCTAGCTTATTTAAGAAAATAGCTATAAATTTTGGTTATGACTTTTTGAGAAGGAACAGTAGACCACCTACATACACTTTAAGTGTACCCCATGCTTCTACTTTAGAGGTAGGAATGGTTTACAATGTATGATGATTTGTATACAGGAAAAAACAAATAATGAAATGTTGTACATGTGTTTGTAGTTTTTGTATGAATAGAAGAAAAGTTAGTAACAACCAGTTTGTGTACATCTCGACTAATTTCATGGAGTATATGTTACCTCCCATCAGCACATGTTTAACAACCAGCACATGTACAAGATAATTCTATCCAACAAAACTTTGACATATGAGAAAAGATCACCTATCAGCACAGGATAACTCTATCCAACAAAACATTGACACATGGTTTACAATTCACTTCAATCATGCACATTCTACAGGGGAACAACTGTCTCTCCTTCTTGACATCAAAAGTCAGTCGATACAAAACCAAAGAGCTTGGAATCAATATGGATGCATAAATGTATATGCTTTTGTACCTAGAAATAAGTTGTTATTCTATTCTTCAATATGAACTTATCTTCCTTTCTTTTCTTTTTTTTGGTTTTGCTTACAATAACATACCTACTGAAATTCCACAAGTTGGGGGTCTAGGAAGAGTAGAGTGTATGCAGATCATACCCCTACCTCATGGAGGTAAAGAGGTTGTTTCCGAAGGACCCTCCGCTCGAGTACAACATATCAAAGTAGCTATGAAAGCGAAAACAGCAGTGGAGAAAATAAAGCAACTAATAAGGAAACAGTAACAACCATCAAGTGATGGTGGAATCAAAAGCAAGATACTATTACAGCAAGTACAAACATTTGTTCATAACAATGATGGTAGTAGATAAACTGCATATTATACAAACAATTATAGTAGTAGTAGTAGTAAATTGCACAAAGGATCAGTTAGTTTGCTTCCCTGTACACATGCATGATTCACCACAGCAACCTGCAATTCATCCACAAAATATGAGTATAAGGATTCCAAATGTCTTTGTTTGGAAAATAAGGATTTCTACCAATGTTTGCGAATTTTTGTCCTCCTAGAATGATGGTAATATCTACCTTCTCAACTATAGTCGGAGTAGTTGTTTAGCTAAACAAAACTGGTCCATTGAAATTTAAACAGGACATACGTCATACATCCAAGTAGAAACTAGGAAAATGGAGAGAATGACTCGTCGAGAAGAGCCTGATACACTCAAGATCATAACAGTTAACACTTCCTACAATTTTTTTCTCCTTCAATCTACGTTTGCTCAAGTCAATGGTATCACCAAAGTGAAAGAAGATTCAGACTTTTGATTGACCAAATAACCAAATAACAGTAAGCTATTAGCAGCAAGGGGAAAACACCCAAATAGATGACATTTCAGTCCTTAACTGTTATTCTATGATTTATGTGCTCCTCTGTCTCTTCATCAAGTGTAACAAAAAACGATCATTGACGAAGGCCTAGACTAAAGAATGACCCTGTCAAGGACTATATATACTAATTATTATTGGCATATTCACATACACCTTAGTGTTCATTACTCTTACTCTGTCTAGAACGGCACAAGATGTACACCTTAAGCCACTGCTTAGAAAAAGAAAGAAAGTCCAATATCATTTACTTAGAATGCCAAAGGCACCAAAAACTACAAACTGCAAAATGTTCTTGCAAAAAGTTGTTCCACAGAATTATGCAACAATAAAAAGAGCAACCACCATATCTAAGTACATGTGCTGTAAAGGTGGCATTTATATATGGAATGTATTGTTCTATACTTGACAAAAGAAGCAGAATTGAAAAACACGGGAAAAATGTATAGAGCGGACACTTACAAGTTGTTAATTTGCGACCTTCAATGCTGTGTCATTGATTCGTTTTGTAAAACTAGAGAAGCTAGGCTTTCAATACAGATTGTTGTCGCCTCCAGATTGCCAAAAGCATTGGTAACCACTGGATATCTCATTGAATCATCCTCTGGATTGTATATCGTTAATTTGTTTCAAGCACGTGCAAAATTTCACCTTCAATTGACATGTAAAGGGATGGAGAAAGCTCACACAGATAACATGTGATGGAATACAGTTTGGTCCAAGCTCTTTAACCCCATACTCCTTCATAACCCACATATCAGTTTTCTCATGACTACAGAGCACATAAAAATCACTTCCCAACACTCCCCAAGTGTCAAAAAAAACTCTTCTACTCCATAACAAGGCTGCTCCACCTTTTTCCATTTCTCATCAACCAAATCAATGGACATTATGTCCCAACCATCATCAACAAAAGTAACCCAGTGAAGCTTCCCATTCAAAAACTTTGCTCAAACTATTGTAGACCATCTCGCCTTGAAAATCATCAAGTGCTCTCCAAGAATCACTTTTTAAAATTTTGACATGGATATCACGGAAAATAGCCACTACCTTATAATCATCATGAACCTCATCATATCCAAAACCACAAGTGAAACTACAACGAAATGTCTGTGTCAGGCACTTTCTAGCTGACGGATTCCACAGAACAAAGTCATTAAACTCAATACACTAACAAATCAACCTACCTACCATACCAACAACTCCTTTGTTGCCTTTAATGGGATAAACCAAGTTAAATGCCTCAGTTACAGAGTCATAAAATAAAGAACTAACAGAACAATGTTTGAGAATGTAAGTGTCTATTTCCAACAGAAATCTATCCTTAGCAGAAAAACTAAGATGGGTCTTCACAAAATGAGGACTAGAGATTAAAGCAAACCAATTTTTCGAAACACACTTGAACTGTAAGAGGTATTTCACGGGAAGTCTTACAAGAATTGCTGTGATGAGTTCTTGGGGCAATGTAGGGATTGCCCAGACTGATTCTTTGCTTGAAGTGGATGGAATTTGAGTATGTTGAGAGCCTTCATCTCCCTCAGCTTCCATTAGGGTTGCAAGTTTCTGCTTATTTTTCACAATTGAATTCCTCCAGTTTTGGGGGCAACAGGCCCTATTTTGGACTTGTGCTTGATTTTGAGGAAAAATTACGTATTACTCTCTCATTCTTCTTTTAGTTGTCATGTTGCACTTTTCAAAAGTAAATTTAATTAATATTATAAACTATACGAAAAATACTATAAATTGCAATTTTTTACATATTTATTTGAAATACAATAATACTAAATCCATCTCCATATGAAAATAAGCATAATAGTAATCACAAATCAATAATAATGAAACAATACACATGACATTAGTGAAATGACTAACAAAGTGACCAAGAGATGAAGAAAAAAGACGATATCAAATAAATAGCTTCTTGTCCACACAAAACAATGTCCGCTAATCAGAAATTTGTCAAATGAAGACACTGTGATTTGATCCATGTTTCAGCCTTACTATCATATCCATACAAACACATGTCAAGGTAATTAAACCAATATCAATGACCACTACCGAAACAGAATTGTATCTCAGATACATGAAAATCATGAATATAGTGTATTTAAAATAAATTATACCTAATATGACTTGCATGTATTTAAGATATATGTATGTGAGCCATCAAATACATGTATCTGAAACAATTAACAAGTAGAAAGTGTAATTTCAAAAATCACTCTTTCAATAATTAGCACCAATAATAATGTACTTTATATTATATGACTTAATTTTTATCAATCAAATTTATGATCTTTAATTCATACTATCTTGGGCTTTGATCCATATAGATCAAACATGACGAATGGAATTGTGGCACAAAAAGAATGGAAGACTATTTGGTTTTTGTTGGATACGTCGAATTTCGCATAACAAGTGAGTTATTTATCTTTAAATTTAAATCAGTAAACGTAAAATTTTATCCTACTTTATCGTTACATAGCAATAAAAGCTTGCTTATATTGTTTCAGTGACCCTTTTTTGCCCCTCTTCAGCGCTAGTGGACATGGGGAGGAAACACGCAAAGCGTGACGTTTGTAATGGGAAGAAAGATATCACCACTTTGCCTATTTGCTTGATTGGCCGACACAAATACAATGATCTTTAGCTAGAATCTAATTCAAATTTAAATCTTGAAAAGTCGTATGATGTTTATCAACACTTTAAGTAATAAATTTATAGACAAAAATATTCTTGACATAAAAAATAAAAAATAAAAAAAAAATTGCAAAGCAAAATTAACAAGGCACAATTTAAGACACAACTTAGTTCCTGTAGAAGTTGTATCGATTGAGATATATAAGTTTATTTTTCAAAATCTACGAAGTTATTTCTTAAGACTTAACTTATTCATACAATTTTTTTACCTTATCAAGCAAAAAAAATCTTGTGAATTAGGTCATAGTTAAGAGTACATCGGCCCAAAAACTTTCATTAAATGAAAAGTAGAGACAAAAACTGAAATCACTGATTCGAGGAATGAAAATTAAAGATCATCTCATAATAGGAGCAAGCAATCCATGCAATAACTCGAAACAATTTTTCTACACTTTAATTGTTGGTCTCTTTGGGTCATTACAAAAGTATATTTTTATAAACTTAATCATTTCACCTCATATATATGACATTGAAGTCGCAAAAAATTGTACCTAAAGTTTGGATAGCTGCAAACATGTTTTGCTTGGAGCCTTGTCAAGGTCAAACTTCAAACATTATTATTTGAAGTTCGACGTTGTTTGTCAAGATCAATTTCGAATATTTTTATATGAAGTTCAGGCAAATATATTGCTAAATTTTAGTCATTTTTACATAAATTTTAAGTACATGATAAAACTTTAAAACATTTTTGCATGAAGTTCATACATATATATATGACAGAATTTCAATATTTTTTGCATGAGAAAATTTTGCCCAAAAATAACTCATTATTTAAAAATTCAACACCCAAATCTTTTTAGTGTGAAGTTACCTATAATCGCTTAACATATTTGAAAAATATAGAAGTAATCCATAAAGAAACCCAATACTAACTGGGCTCAATAAGACCTCAAAGTAACACAAGGCAGAAGCCCAAAGTTACAACTTCAGTTACAAGGATAACAACATTAATTATCATTATTTTTTGTTTTCCACTCGATGTCGAGTATCATTGAAGCTCAATTATTTTGAATTTGTGTCGCATAGGGCCCCATTCGGGAGAAAGCGCTTCCTACCAATGATTTTTTAATACTCGGGACTCGAACTCAAGACATTTGGTTAAGGGTAGAGCAGCCTCATCCGCTGCACCGCATCCGTTGGTAGTAATACAACATTATCATCATGTATTTCTATCTTTGATTTTGTCTCCATCCAATTACTCCTCATAGATATACTGATTTTTTTTCATTTGGTACAAACTTAATGCAAGTAATTGCACTATAAATTGATTTGAAGAATTGACAAAATGAACCAAATTTATAGCTAGAGAAACCAAGAAAAGGAGGCAAGGGGTTTATTAGGATTTCTTTTGTTGAAAATAATATTATATATATAAGGCTAAAGTTATTTTTAATTTTTTTTTTGTGGGTGTAATTCTTTATATTATGAATATTCTTTAATAAAATCATGACTTCGCCATTAACAAAGTTTAAGATACATTTTGTTTGGAAACAAGAGGCTAGTAAAATATTTGTTTTAATAGTGAATTTTATGATTTTATTTTCACTTAGAAAAATATTGAAATTTGTAGAAAAGGTTAAAAAAAAAAAATATTTTTTTAAAAAAAATGACTACTTTCTATAGTAGAAACATTTAAAAGTTTTAGTTAAATTACTCACATCTTAATATTAATAATACAATTTTGCAAAATAGTATGCTACACAATTTTAATTACTATCATAGTGCATCCGATTAACTTGAATTGATCCTAATTAATATAAATAATATCAATAATAGTATTATGTGAATTTAAAAGTTATATATCTTTTTAAAATCTATACTAAAATAATAAATACAAAATAAATTTATAAATCACTTATTTTTTTAAAAAAAAAATTGACCACTAATTTAATTAAGTCACCAATGTGTAACACGATTATGAGCCGAATTTTGAGGACATACAAATGGCAAGCAAAACGTGAAAAGGAGAAAAGAAAATAATAAGTAGAAATTGACTACTTTTTAGTAGAAATATTTTAGATTTTTGAATTAAATTACTCACAATATTAATAAATTAAATTTTGGACAATACCCTACAGATTGCATCACAATTAATGACTAGCATTTTATAAATTTTGAATTAATTGTAGAAAATATAAATAATAATATTATTACTACATGAAATTAAAAAAAATTGTTTACTAAAAATACTACATTATAAACAATACTCATTTGTTTCAATTTGTTTGACTTATTTTTCTTTTTAGTCCATTACCTTTTCAACTCAAGAAATGCTAAAGCTATTTAGAGTTGGTATTTCTAACTAAGTCGGAAGGAGGGCTTTGGGCAAAGAGCAACTCTAAAAAAACATAACTTTTCTTTTTTAACAACTTTTTAATTTCAACTCTTCACCTGACATGTTTAAAATCACAAGATTAAAAGACATTTTAGTACCATTTGCTAGATCTTTAAGACCACAAAATTAAAAAGTCTTCTTTATTTTTTAAAATTTTGTGTCAAGTCAAAATAAGACACTCAATCTGAAATGGAAAAGGTAAGTATATATATATATATATATATATATATATAAATTAAAATTACTTTTTAGGCCACCAAAAGTTAAGGTCTCATTTGTTTGCATTTAATCAAGGTCTTAATCTTAATCATTCAAATCTCAGTAATTAAGTCTGTTTGTTTTCAAGATCTTGAATCTTAATCATGCATATCTTAATCATTAAGTGAGTTTGTTCTTCTTATTTTACAATCACTTAATGGGTCTAAATAAGTCTGAATAATTAAGATCTATAACAAAGTCTTAATACTATTAAGATGTATATGAAAGAATTTCTACAAAATGACAATTCACCGTTATTCCATCTACTTTCACTCACCACCCACAATTACCATTGACGATGCCAATCACCCACCTACCATCCTCAGCCCAACTACAATCACCACTTCCGTCAATCACCGAAATCAGTCGTCATCACCATTAGTCACCATTTCCTATTTTCAACCCCAACCACTATTACATTCACTAATCACTATCGATAATTACCATCATTAGTCAATATTATATACAAATTATAATACAATCCACAATAATCATTATCAGTCAAGAACATCCCAAATCGACATACTCTATCACTGTCGTCATTCGTCACCACCAATTGTCATATAAATTTTTTAAAATATTTTATTAATATAATATTACATCAATTTAGTATTTTATTTAAATTTATTGTTTTTTAAATAAAAACAAATTTTATATATTCAGATGTTAAGAAAACAAACAATAATAACTATTTAGTATTCAATCTGTAAATATTAATATCCACGTTAATATTCAAATATGTATTCAGATTCAGACGATTCTGTGTCGTAGACGCAATTCTTGACTCAAAATCTTTATTGCATGAATTTGGTGGGGACATAGAAATGACAAAGAAAACGTGGAAAAAGAGAAAAGAAATTCTCATGGGTTGCTTGAACTATACGTTTGAAACATTCCATGCAAGTTAGTGGGCCCCATACAAAGCCCAATCTCCTTCGACTTTCGTCGGCCCATACGTTATCTTATCACAAACTGCCTTCAATTATGCTCTGTTTTGGATAAAATTGGCCCCACTAGGTAAATTTATTTATTTTCGGAAAAGTGTCTGATATATCCTCGTTATAAAAGAAACTCATATATATATATATATATATATATATATATATATATTCTATTATTATACAAATAACTCACATCACATATCATTTTCCTTTAATAAAAGTGAAAAAAAAATTATAAAGAAAAATATAATCCATATAAGGTATATTTGATCCTCCTCACGTGATTTTTTTTAAAATTAAAAGTAAAAAAAAAA